CACAGACAGAGCCGGTACCGATCAGACCAAGCGGTGCGGTGGTGGGTGGGGTAGAGGGAGAGAAGACACGCTTTTCACCCTGTGACGCCTGTCCACACTCCCATGTTTGAAATAACTTTACAAACATGCTAACTATCACAAGCGGCCTGTAAACCCCCGGGAACTGCTGAGGAGCCCGGCTGGGGGGGGGGGAGGGGGGAGAGAAGCCATGCAACGGGTCCTGGAGGAATGGAAGTTCGGCGGCTGATTCGGTGATGCAGTAACCAAGGCGATAGGCACACTGACCAGCAATGTGTAACCAAAAAAGCCACTAAACCCGGTCACACAAAGGGTTTAAATTGAGGTGTTACTTGTGGATTAGAGAAGTGTGAAACTATTAGCCTTTTTTTTGTCTCAGATCAGTCTGTTATTTCCTGTTCAGTGAATCCCTGGGGAAACCTGCAACCCCCCCCCACCCCCGAAACACCACCCAGGCCTCTCCCCCCACCAACCGAAACATCACCCAGTCCCCACCCCGGGGAGAGTCAGACAGTGCCCGAACAACAAATCACAACAAGAAACGTGGGAGGGGGAGCACTCCCATCAGAGGTCATTTCTTTTTAACTACAGTGAACGGCTGCCACGTACACACAGAACTTTACAAGTTTACTGCATGGTCTCGGGGCTGCACGATACAGCTCTCACTTTTCAGATGTTTTTAACTCAAAAAAGTCCAGGAACAGAGAGCGCGCGGGAGTGAGAGAAAGGAAGGCTGAGGTGGAACAGAGAGAGGATGAGGTGGGAGAAGAGACGGAGTCTGGGGGGGGGGGGAGGAGAGAGAGAAGAGGGGAACACAGCCCCTTCACAGTCTGTAGACAGACCATTTGCTCTGTTTCCACAAACATGACCAGAGGCAAGAGCAGCTCAGCTTTAAAAGGTCGTCTTCCTGGGTCGGCACACGCGGCCAGAGAAGCACTGTTTGTTTTGGGGAGGATTTATATAAAGTACTGCCTCGATGCAGTCACATTTGGTGGCAGTTTGTGGGAGTCAAGGCTTTGGGGTGGGTGGGGAGGGGGTTGTAGAGAACACCTCCAGAGGGTGGGGTACTCTGTGACAGCTCGAGAATCAGACACATCTACAACTGAAGGCATCCAGAGCACAGAGAGACGCACACACACACTAATTATCTTACACTATCTACAAAGCACCTCCCAAAGAGCTTCACAGGAAAGTGTTGTGACTGTATTTTGGATAAGCAAACGCCTTTATAGTAACATTGAAAAAATTCCGCAGGACGGTTTAGTGAGTATGTTCTCCTGACTCCCCAGCACATGGGAGCGACATGCTGAGCAACCTCACTGTGCTTCCCGGCCTTGCCAGCCGCCAGCAACACCCACTTTGCCTCGGATGGTTTGAATCCCACAAGCAGACGCTAACTGATTCACTAATCTCCTGCTTGCGGGATTCAAACAGCATCAACAATAACAACTCCTCCTCACACATATACAACACCTTTCATGTCGGAACAAGCCATTACAATGCCGGTACCGGGAAGATCACCCGGGAACGAGAAACATACGGCAATGGAAATAAAATTTGGCCGGCCACAATCTTAGGGCTTTTGATGACTTTCTCATATGGTTTAATCATGAATAAATCCAGCTCCTTCAGCTTGGGTTTATTGGCTCATTCCCAACATGGCTCCAATGCAGGAGGTACTGCAGCTAGGAGGGATAACTTTAATATATATTAAAAAAATTATAAAAAGATATTGTAAAGTTTATATTGAGAGTGATTAAATGGGAAATGCTTCAGTTATAATGTTTCTGATCAGCAGATTACATATACACAAACACAGGCAGAAAAAGCATTGCCGACTGAAACAAATCTCACACACAGGCGAAAGAGAATTACACACACTCAAAGGCGGAAACAAGTTACACATTCACATGCGCACAGAAAGAACTATACACACTGGCAGAAATAATAACACAAACAGACAGAAACAGAGAATGCCACACCCACACAAAGCAAAAGAACTACACACACTCAGGAGGCAAAAAAAGAATCACACAGATATGCACAGGCAGAAAGACACACACGCACAGAAAATAACACGCACAGAAGCAAAAACAATTACATAAACACATACAGATTACAGTCAGCAATTTTGGTTCAAATGAAGGAATGGGGGTGAGAAGTGAGAAGCAATTAGGAACCAGTCGCTGCGAACGCCAGGCTTACAGCAGCGAGTCTGAATGGATCAACAGCAGAAAGTCAAGGTAGGCATTCCGTTACCTTGGGACACACACAAAAACTGCAAACACCCAGCCCAGCTCTCGCCTCTTATACCCTTTACGTCATCTTCATTGTTTGTTGCACCTCACTCACCATTTTTATTATATATTGTATAGAAAAACAAAAGTAAGTTGCTTCTCACATGTAAACATCTATTTCTGGGGTTTTCCCTCATTCTGCACGAGTTAAAAAAGATTTTTATAAAGTTTAAAGAATGAGATAAGGAGACAAAAAACTCAGCCCACACAGGACGGACTTCTGCAACTGAAGTAAAACATGTCACCTCCTGAGCAGAGCCGCCTCACCTCCACCCACAAACCGCAGGTAACCATCAATATTAAATGGTCACAAGATTTCCAATCACACTCCAAAGGCAGATTACTTTGTTACTTTAAATGACTTGATCAAACCACACACAGATCTGATGAACTGGTGGGGAATGACCCAACATCCAACAGATGGCAGCAATCAATATACAGCGACTCAGGGGAGAGAGGGCGAACGGTTTGTGGGTTGTTATTGATGTTATCGGTTTCATTTGATCGGCAACAGCAAAACCCATAGAAGCCGACGCGGGGAAAATAAAACACTGTGCGGACGCTCACTATAATATAATCCCTGCAGTTGATACAGCACCTGATCACGTTGCTGAGGCTTCTCGAAACGATCGGAACTACAACACTGACAAATCGCTCTTTGCTTGTGTTCTGTGTGGCATTTAGACCAAAATGATGAGACAGTTACAAAAAAAGCTACCAGTGAAGAACTCCCAGCTCTCGGTTAGACTCAGACACCAGCCTCTCGCTGTCTCATTGATAGTAAACAACGTAACATTGCACTGGTCCAGCACAGGTTTCTACAGTACTTCACCTCACGTGTGAAATAATGCGCAACACAAGTTCCTTATTGTATCTTGTTGCAGAAAATTATCAATTATATGTCACTTATACCAACAATGTCACAATGTGTGATACGGGGATTAAATCTTCCTAAAAAACTGTCAAAATGCCCCCCCCCACCCCCAAAGAATTAATAGGAAACAACAGATGCTGCGCTGCGTAGGTTGGGGGTTTCCAATCTGATCTCTGGGTTCTATGGGTGTTCGTGAACTCCTTAAGCATTTCTGGTTTGGTTCAAGGCATTAAATTGAACAATGACAATAATAATCCTTGCATTTGATAGAGCACCTCATCACGTATTCGAGACGTCTTTAAGCGCTTCACAGGATATACTGCAAAGTGTAATGACTGCGTGTTTTGTGGGCGAAATGCAGCACATTGGTACAGCTCCCACTGCAACACCTTTTCCTCTCCCTCTGCGGTTCTCTCCAAGGGGCTGGGAGGTGTCCTACAGAGAGCTAATTGTATTCAATTAGCACAATTCACCCCCAACTAATAATGATTCTTGCTTTTGATATAGCGACTTATCGCGAATTCCAGATGTCTCAAAGTGTTTGGCAAATTGGCAGCCAGTTGCGCACAGCAGTGTCCCACAAACATTCGTGTGACCAAATTTTTAAATTTTGTATTCTTTGCCCCATACATCAGTTCACAGCACAAATATCTGCACATGCACTGTTTGTTCACTCTTCCCATCTACACAACAGCGACCATCACTTGTGTCCTGATAACCGACACACACGGTGCGCTCTGCTATAAGCGAGGTTTACAATATATTCTGTGAAACGCTTTGAGACGCCTAAAAGACGTGATAAGGCGCTATATCAAAAAACATGGATTATTATGATTAATCTTAAATAAAGCATTAAACATCCTATGTGGAATACAGTACTAAGAATTGTGCACGAGACTGCAAGGTGCAATTTTTTCCATGTAGCATACGATAAAAACATTTTTTTTAAGATCCATTCTGAACTCGTAGCAATTTAGAAATGTAATCTTAGTAAACATTTGGGTGATAAATTAAAACATTTGACCCAATAGAGTGTATAAATGTGTGTGTGTGTGTGTGGGGGGGGCTTTGGGGTCGGGGTGGAAGGGAGGAGAAACAGCCTGAAACTACAGACCAGTTATCCCTGTCATTGTACACACGGGAATGTAATCACCACGAACACCGACAGCAAATGCAGAGCTCAACGGGAGGGTTTATGTAACGTACACCGGCACACAAAAACTTTTTTTTTCTCGTGGGAAGGAGGATATCATTGCGAGAGAGAAAGAGAGAGAAATTTGCAATGACAATTATCATTAGACCAGATCCATAGCAACCCCAGAGCTGTGCCAAAAAAACACGTCACTAACATCAGCACAGGCTCCATCACAAACAATGTTCAACATCCTCGTGTGGATGAAACAATTGCTCTGGGAACATAGACAATAGGGAAAAAAAGGACAAATTCCTCCAATTATTCCACCTTTTCAAAAAATACAAACAATCCAACTTAATGAAAAGTTTCCGGCCTTTGCATTAATGTATAGTAAAAACTCAGGCACCTTCCTGAGATTCTTTACTCCATTTTATATCCCTCCCTCCCTCCCTCCCTCCCTTCAAGTACAATATCTCTCAAAATGTGCAAACTGAAATAAAATCTCCGAAATGCATTAAACAAAACATAAACTTCTTCTAAACAAAGGCAGAGACGTGCGTTAATTCAATTCACAAGCTGGGCACCATCACACGGCTTCAGAGAGAGAGAGAGAGAGAGAGAGAGAGCAAAGATATCACACACAACATTGACAGGGCTTTGATCACAATAACTGTACCTGTTCCCCCAAACTGGTTGCTTGCAAGGGTCGTGGGTCTGTTTTTCCCATTAGAAGCCGGCGGTGAAAACATCTAAAGGGAGAAGAGGGGAGGGGAGGGTAAGGAAAGAGGTGTTATTGCAATACATAAAAACAAAGAGGGCGGAAGGCGATCACAGACAACAATCAGGTTAGTCACCAATATACGGTGCTGTTCCCACATATTCCTCGTTTGCATTCAGTAAACCCACGAGCACAATAATCCGGATTTTCCCCAAATAAACATGGAGCCCGCACACCTCCCTGGCTCTGCTCCCGACAACTCTGCCGTTTGCTGAGTAAATCCTGCAGCACTGAATCCTGGGATATGACTATTGAGGGGGGGGGGGGGCGCGAAGGGGGAGGAGACCGACAAAAAAAAAGTATTTCCAGAAAAAAATAAGAGTTGGCTTTAAGTTCAAAAAGTGATGATTTACTTCAATGCAAACGCAACACTTAATACAGTAGCACTGCGCCGGGGGGAGGGGGAGGGCGTGGGTATGAGCGCGGGGGGAGGGGGGAGGGCGTGGGTATGAGCGCGGGGGGAGGGGGGAGGGCGTGGGTATGAGCGCGGGGGGAGGGCGTGGGTATGAGCGCGGGGGAGGGGGGAGGGCGTGGGATGAGGAGATGAGGCGGCGGGGGGCGCATGGGCGCGGGGGGAGGGCGGGGGAGGGGCAGGGCGTGGG